CGAAAAACACCCGATGACACAAAGTGCCACCATGTGGATGAGGATCGCCGTGGAGAGGTCACAGAAACCGCATTCAGACAATTGGTCATATTTAAGGCCTGCCTATATTGCGGCCCCTGGCAAATGCCAGGGTGGGGCTTCAAATAACAAAAAATTTCGTCCTTAAAAGGACGAAACTGGATAAATTCCTGTGGTTCTTTCTGACTTGTCGACAAGCATGCAGTTATGAAAAATGCTGTTAAAACTAATAATTTATAATACTGTACAAACAGTTATTTATACTTTAACGATAATCATTAATACTATTAAACGTAGCGTCCTGGGTTCGATCCCAGCTGCAGGCGTTAAGCCGGTTTCAACAGTGGTATCAAGCGTTGACCGTCTAGAAAGCAGTGGCAAACTACTGAAGTTAAATTTGCCTACAAAAACCACAGTAGACAAAAAATGCTAGGGTTGTTTCTGCAACGTCCTGAAAAGGATACGCAATTAACATTTGAGCAGCATAATGTGCACTAACAAATAAAAAGTTGCACTACTCAGACAAATAATAATGTGTAATATAAAGGTAATATTTACACTAACCTCAGCACTAGTGAATCACATACATACATAATATTTCTTTAGGGTTCTCCAGCAATTATAATGATAAAATATAAGCTGGCACTGAGACTGCTAAATTTCATTTGTATAGACTTGACTGACTGACTGACTGACATGGACATAATGAACAGTTTAGCTATAGCGATATGTGTGCCTGTAATGTATAGACTGGACTGACTGACATACATAGACACACTGAACAGTTTAGCTATAGCGATATGTGTGGCTGTTATGTATAGACTGGACTGACTGACATACATAGACATAATGAACAGTTTAGCTATAGCGATATGTGTGGCTGTTATGTATAGACTGGACTGACTGACATACATAGACATAATGAACAGTTTAGCTACAGAGATATGTGTTTCTGTTATGTATAGACTTGACTGACTGACATACAAGGACATAATGAACAATTTAGCTATAGCGACATGTGTGTATGTATGCACAGACTGGACTGACTGACATACATAGTCACAATGAACAATTTAGCTACAGTGATATGTGTGTCTATATGTTTAGACTGGACAGATTGACATACATAGTCACAATGAACAATTTAGCTACAGTGATATGTGTGTCTATATGTTTAGACTGGACAGATTGGCATACATAGTCACAATGAAAAATTTAGCTATAGCGATATGTGTGTATGTATGCACAAACTGGACTGACTGACAAACATAGTCAGAATGAACAATTTAACTATAGCGATATGTGTGTCTATATGTTTAGACTGGACAGATTGACATACGTAGTCACAATGAACAATTTAGCTATAGTGATATGTGTCTATATGTTTAGACTAGACAGATTGACATACATAGTCACAATGAAAAATTTAGCTATAGCGATATGTGTGTATGTATGCACAAACTGGACTGACAAACATAGTCAGAATGAACAATTTACCTATAGCGATATGTGTGTATGTATGCACAAACTGGACTGACTGACTTACAGGGACACAATGAATAATTTAGCTGTAGCGATAATTTTTTTCTGTATGTATTTACAAGCATATGCATGTTGAATAATTGAAAGATGGAAGTAATGGTGATTTCCAAGAAAGAAATACTGACATTTATGGACACAAACAACAATTTAGTAATAGCGATAATTATATCTGCATGTATAGACTGGACTGACATACATGGACACATAAATAATTTAGCTGTAGCGATATGTGTGTGTGTATGTAAAGACTGGACTGACATGCATGGATACAATTAACAATTTAGCTGTAGCGATATGTGTGTCTGTATGTAAAGACTTGACTGACAGATATGGACACAATCAACAATTTTGATATTACAATGTGTATGTCTACATCTATAGACTAGACTGACATACCTGGATACAATCAACTATTTAGCTATATCGATATGTGTGTTTTTATGTACAGACTGGACTGAAATACATGCTCGCAATGAATAATTAAGCTGTGTCGATGTGTATGCATGTACAGACTGGACTGATTGACATACATAGTAACCATCAACAACTTAGCTATAGCGATATTTGTGTCTGTATGTACAGACTGGACTGACATGCAGGGACACAATGAAAAATTTAGCTGCATCGTTATTTGTGTCTCTACAGACTGGACTGAATGACATACACTTGTAAATAGTCACAATGAACAATTAAGCTATATCAATATGTGTATGTGTACAGACTGGACTGACTGACACACATAGTCACAATAAACAATAAACTATAGCAATATGTGTGTCTGAATGTACAGACTGGACTGACATACATATTCGCAATGTACAATTCAGCTATATCAGTATGTGTGTCTGTGCAGACCGGACTGGTTGACATACATAGTCACAATGAACAAGTTAGCTATACTGATATGTGCGGATGTAAAGACTGGACTGACATAGTCACAATGAACAAGTTAGCTATACTGATATGTATGCCTGTAAAGACTGGACTAGTTGACATACATAGTCATAATGAACAAGTTAGCTATACTGATATGTGTGTCTGTAAAGACTGGACTAGTTGACATACATAGTCATAATGTACAAGTTAGCTATACTGATATGTATGTGTGTAAAGACTGGACTGACATAGTCACAATGAACAAGTTGGCTATACTGATATGTATGCCTGTAAAGACTGGACTGGTTGACATACATAGTCACAATGAACAAGTTAGCTATTCTGATATGTGTGTCTGTAAAGACTGGACTGATATAGTCACAATGAACAAGTTAGCTATACTGACGTGTTTGTCTGTAAAGACTGGACTGACATAGTCACAATGAACAAGTTAGCTACACTGATATGTGTGTCTGTAAAGATTGGACTAACTGAGATAGTTTCAATGAGCAGTTTAGCTATAGAAGGTACAAGATGTCAGAGGCACACGAACCAATAGGTGAAGATACTCTGAGTGTTGGTCAAAAACAAAAATTGTTGAGTAAGAAGTAAGCTCTGCCTCAATCATTCCCCCCCCCCCCCCTTTCCACGTATATACATTCTTTTAAGAATTTTTGTGTGTTTATATATTATTTTGAGTGTAATAATTAATTTACTTGCCATTTGGGTCTTAATCATGTTATTATTATTATAAACAAGACGTGTGCCCCCCCACCCCCTCAGCCACCATATGCGTGACGTTCTCATCCCATGGGCGGCTGGTTGGACATCTAAAGACTTGAAAAAATCCCAACCTGGATGGCAGACCAACATGGCAAATCCCAAATATGCCGTTCAGCCTTTATTTTCCATACTTTTTTCCATGGTGCCTATTTAAGCTGGGTCGACATGGAAGACAAGATCATTTACCAAGGGAGGGAAAAAAAAAACCAGTCTAGTCCGTTCGGATTTGAACCCACGATCTTCGGATCCACAGGCGACCGTCTAGTCGCTACACCACAACGACGTCAAAAAAATTTTTTTTTTTTAGTTTGAGAAAGAAGAAACGATTATAATTTTGCAATGAACACTGACTGGGCTAGAGGCATGCATGCAAGGGAAAATAAGCAGACATGCAAAGCACAACAAACAGTTCTACAAGCAATGCAAAAAGTTAAACCAGGCTTCGCCAACAATAAAAGGCTGGTACTCGCGTGCACCGAAGACCACCTTATATTACCTCATTTGGTCGCATGTTTTCTATGTATATGAGTAGAATTTAGGCTCCTGCATACTGTGTTGTTTACTATGTTGTTATCTTATGAACATCATTATTTCTCTTTGACATGATAGTTAAAGAAGGAAGAAGTAATGACATGTTGAAAGATCTGAACATGAAGGAAGATTGGCTAATAAACAGCATCCTGTTTCGGAAGCTGAAATATTTTGGTCATATTAAGCGCCACGACGGATTGGAAAAAATTATAGCAGAAGGGATGGCACCAGGAAAGAGGGGCATGGGCCGACCGACACGAAGATGGGCACAGGTTTTAAGTGACTCCTTGAGTATGAAAGTACATGAAGCGGGAGAGCTGGCGAGAGACCGAGTTTCTTTCAGGCAGACCGTGATGAGAGCGACGTTCTACATAGGACCTGCTACATGATGATGATGGTGATATGATACTTACATCTCTACAATACATCAAGTGACACTTACCTTTGTCCATTCGCTGCGCAAATTGTAATATAATATTATACCCACACACACAAATAATAATAATAATTACGCACAGTTATTATAAAATATGTATGCACACAATCCTCACTTTTTCTCATAAGAATGAAAGCTGATGTAGTTTTGCTTGCTAAAACGACGACGTGAGGACAATTATGTACTAACACTGCGTCAGTCCCAAACGCCACCTGAGCCACACTGTTTCAGTCAGTCTAAAAAATGCCACCTGAGCCACACTGTTTGAGGCAGTCTAAAACTACTAATGCATAAGCTTGTCCAAGTTCATGACTGATTCTCAATACTATCACAGCACGGTCTATACGACTACTAAATGTAATCGATTTCATCAAAGCTAGATTAAATAATTTAGTAACGACGTTCTTCTTTATAATTCATGACATGAGGCCTTGGTGATTATGTCATGCCGCAACATTCTGTTTTGTCAATCCGTTCAAATAAAAATATTCTTCCATGTTATGTTGCCAAACTCTTCAGCATTTACTTTGTTGAATTCCCTCTGCGTCTCTTTCCCTCTAACGTGTTATGAGTTACTCCATGTTTCCTTAGCATGACATCTACTGGTACACACTTCAAGAGTCTATATGGTTCATAAAAATCTTACTACGATGACAGCTGCTAAAGCATTTAAGTGATTTCCAGGTTGTTATTTTAGTATTGTCTTTCACGTCCTTTCTATTAACAGTTGCTATGTTAAAATGAACACATTCAACTGTAAAAATGCACGCACACACACAAAATACTAGAGATACAAATGTTAATGATGATGTTGCTACAAGCTGACTGGCGGCTTTAAAAACCCTTGATTATCCTGCACAAACTTTGAGTTGCATTCTATTGACTGTGATGCCGCTGCTTGGCTATTATCCATTGAAGACAGTTCCATTCTTTCCTCTGCGGTGGCACTGACCCCGCTCCGTGTGTACGTCTGGCTGGTCCTGGGAAAGACACTGTTTTCATTGCAGACAGTTTTATTCATCTCTGCCCCAGCCATACATTTAAACGCCTTAACAAAGCTTTTCCGGAAGTTGTCACTGAGAAAAGCGTACAGGAAAGGGTTCAAGGAGCTGTTGGCGAAGGACAGGACGGTGAAGACGTTGAAGATCAGCACCATAGTACTATGATGGGCGGTGACGTTGTTGAAGACGATGTGTGCTTGGAATGACCAGTAAGGTAGCCAGCAGACCAAGTATACACTGATCACAGTAAATACTAAACGGGTTACTCGCCGATGTGACCGTTGCTTTTCCTTGGACTTCTTGGCAGGCCCAACATGACGCAGTCTAATGATGACCAATACGTAGAAGACTGAGATAAGGGATACGGGTATTGCAAATCCTAAGACAAAAGAGTACCAAATAAACGCCTTGTCGGCAGGTATGAGGCTGTTCTCTGGCCATACGATGACACATCTCTCTTTGTTTGGATCCTTGTGTTTAGTTGTTGTTGAGTAGAGAATAATGGGTAGCATAACCATGAAAGACACCGACCATATGCACAGACAGAGAAACAGTGCTATCCTGGGTGTACGATACTTCAGCGAGCGAATTGGATGGCAGACAGCTAGATATCTATCAGCGCTCATCACACACAAATTAAAGGCCCCGCCAAACAAGTTAATGGAATACAGCACAAAATAAATTTTGCACATAGCAAAACCAAAAATCCAGTGCTTAACCACAGCTGTTGTACCCATGACAGGCAGTATGGTCAGAAACAGGACGTCGGACAGCGCTAAGTTGAGGATGTACATATTTGTTACCGTCTTCATTTTTGCAAACATCAGCACTACATAGATGACAAGGGCGTTGCCAACGAGACCCAAAGCGCAGATGAGCAAGTAGCACACCAGGAGAACATATGGCAGCACTTTCTCATACGTTGGAATGATCAATGTTTCGTTTGCTAAGCTCAAATTAAAATCAGTTATGTTGTCGTCGTCGCATATAGGAAGCGAATTGAATATGTTATCAATATCCACGGTAGTTTTATTGCTATAGAGCTCCACATTGCTATAGTTATCAGCCATGTTGTTGTCTTAGTAACTGTGCTACTGATAATTTATATATTGCAAGTATATAAAACTCAACCCTGTTAAGTATAACCTAAATCAGTTGCTCGAGAAAATCGATTAGCAGTTCCCAGGGGAGCTGACCAAACAAGATGAACACATCAATTAACCTCTTCTGTTCTTTGTTGAAAACAATGACCTTAACCCGTTTAAACACTATGTTCAAATGTAGCTGCGCTGGAAATTGTTTCGAAGCTTGACAGGTTTATCCATTCATTTTCCTGCAATTAATTTGTAATGTCAATGTGGGCTGTACTTTTATATTTTGGTTCATTCCCAAGCGGCAATCGCAGCCTTGAATTATTTTCCCCCTTTGTTTTAATGCGAGAGACAGAAACAATGAAGTGACTTCCAAATCATCCAGTCTTATTCAAATTCCGGCTCAGTTCATTTAGAATTTGTATCCAGTCTTTACTTATAAAGTGGCTAAAATTCCGAAGGGATCGTTCTCGTTCGTTAGATCGCTGTAGCAGTAGGTTAGGAGTACTCCCGTTTGTTTCCGTATGACAGCTCTCCGTCTTTCTAGACGATAGTGTTATACTGAGTCACAGTGAGATGGGAAACACACAACCCATTGTCAGGCTCTGAATGTCACAACGAAGGAATGGCAAGACATGAGCCACTTGTGGATTAGATGAAGTTTGCGGATTAGAAGAATCGACAGAGCCGACGATGTGTTTTTATGATTCAAAACAGTGTCTAATGTTCTATGTTTGATAGTCTTCACAGACTGGTCACCGATTGATTATGCTGGCTGACTCAAAATCCCAAACACTGTCTCGATTTGGATGTACTGATTTCGGTACAGACTGGTTACAGTAGTCTAAAGACTGAGCTTCTGTGCTTCAGATTCGATTATGCTGGCTCAAAATTCCAAACACTGTCTCGATTCGGATGTACTGATTTTTTTACAGACTGGTTACAGTAGTCTAAAGACTGAGCTTTCGTGTTTCAGATTCGATAATGCTGGCTCAAAATTCCAAACACTGTCTAGATAAGCATGTACTGATGTCGGTACAGACTGGTCGTAATGGCGTACAGACTAAACTTACGTGCTGCGGCGTCGACTGGGTGGGTTCATGATTCGAAAATACTATCTTGTTTCGGGTGTATTGAAGTTTTCACAGACTGATCGAAATGGCATAACGATTTAGCTTACGTTGCTTTAGACTCGACTCTGTGAGTTCATGATTGCACATGCTGTCTTGGTTTAGATGTGTTGAAGTCGGTACAGGTTGACCACACTCACGTGAGGACCAAGCTTGCGTGATATAACGTGACAGTAATTGATGACAATAATAGTGCTGGTGAGCTGGAGGCCACCAATGTTGGTAGGTGTCACGCCGGCAGTGTTGTGGAGTTAGTTAGGGTTGACTGTGAAATTAATGAGATAAGCGTGTTAATAATGAAGGATTGTTATGACATTAATTGGGATGACTGTGGTGAACACAACTGTGACAAGAGTGAAGGATTATGTGTAACAAATTAAAGGAGTTTTGTGACATGAATAAAGGGTTACTGTGACATGAATGAGGGTAATTGTCAAATGAATGAAGAATTATTGTGACATGAGTGAAAGGTTTTTTGTGTGACATGAATGAGGGATTATTGTGATAAGAATTACAGGTTATTGAGACATGAATAAAGGGTTATTGTGACACGAATAACGGCTTACTGTGAAATGAATAAAAGTTGTTTGCGATATGAATAAAGGGTGATCTTGACATGAACAAGAGAGATTGTGACATGAATGAATGGTGATGATGAAACAAATGAAGGGTTATTGTGATGTGAATGAATGGTTATGATGAAACAAATGAAGGGTATTTGTGATGTGAATGAATGGTTATGATGAAACAAATGAAGGGTTATTGTGATGTGAATGAATGGTTATGATGAAACAAATGAAGGGTTATTGTGATGTGAATTAATGGTTATGATGAAACAAATGAAGGGTTATTGTGATGTGAATGAATGGTTATGATGAAACAAATGAAGGGTTATTGTGATGTGAATGAATGGTTATGATGAAACAAATGAAGGGTTATTGTGATGTGAATGAATGGTTATGATGAAACAAATGAAGGGTTATTGTGATGTGAATGAATGGTTATGATGAAACAAATAAAGGGCTATTGTGATGTGAATGAATGGTTATGATGAAAAAAATGAAGGGTTATTGTGATGTGAATGAATGGTTATGATGAAACAAATGAAGGGTTATTGTGATGTGAATGAATGGTTATGATGAAACAAATGAAGGGTTATTGTGATGTGAATGAATGGTTATGATGAAACAAATAAAGGGCCATTGTGATGTGAATGAATGGTTATGATGAAACAAATGAAGGGTTATTGTGATGTGAATGAATGGTTATGATGAAACAAATGAAGGGTTATTGTGATGTGAATGAATGGTTATGATGAAACAAATGAAGGGTTATTGTGATGTGAATGAATGGTTATGATGAAACAAATGAAGGGTTATTGTGATGTGAATGAATGGTTATGATGAAACAAATAAAGGGTTATTGTGATGTGAATGAATGGTTATGATGAAACAAATGAAGGGTTATTGTGACATGAATTAATGGTTATGATGAAACAAATGAAGGGTTATTGTGATGTTAATGAATGGTTATGATGAAACAAAAAAAGGGTTATTGTGATGTGAATGAATGGTTATGATGAAACAAATAAAGGGTTATTGTGATGTGAATGAATGGTTATGATGAAACAAATGAAGGGTTATTGTTACATGAATGAATGGTTATGATGAAACAAATGAAGGGTTATTGTGACATGAATGAATGGTTATGATGAAACAAATAAAGGGTTATTGTGATGTGAATGAATGGTTATGATGAAACAAATGAAGGGTTATTGTGATGTGAATGAATGGTTATGATGAAACAAATGAAGGGTTATTATGATGTGAATGAAAGGTTATGATGAAACAAATGAAGGGTTATTGTGGCGTGAATGAATGGTTATGATGAAACAAATGGAGGGTTATTGTGGCGTGAATGAATGGTGATGATGAACTAGATGAAGGGTTATTGTGATGTGAATGAAGCGTTATCGCGACATAAATTAGGAATTATTATGACCCAAACTAAAGGTGATGGTGGCATGAATGAAGGGTGAACTTGAGATGAACAAGAGGGATTGTTACATGAATGAATGGTTGCACTGACATGAATAAACACGAATTGTAATACGAATGAAGGATGACTGTGACAGGAATGAAGGGCGGTTGTGACATGAATGACTGTGTCAGGAATGAAGGGCGGTTGTGACATGAATGAATGGTGTTGATCACTGGAATGAAAGGTGATTGTGACATGAAAAAGAATAATTTTAGCGTAAATAAGGAATGATTATGACATACGTAAAAGATAATTGTGACTTCAACGAGAGAGAAAAAAAAGATTGTTTTATATCAGTATGCTGTTAGATATATAAGCAACCCCATTAAAATTTCAAGGTAGATGGATTTTCAAAATGAGAAGTTACCATGAAGATTCCACCCCCCCCCCCTAGTTTCCCCCCCCCCCGCTATTCCTCCCCCCCCCCCTCCTTCTCTCCTCCAAAAAATAGTTACCATTCAGTACACGTGTTGATCTTTTTTTTTATCTTCTTTTTTTTTAAAAGGGGGTGGGGCCACGGGGTGTTCCCAGGTAGCGAAGTGGTCAAGCCGTTTTCTTTGCGCTCCAAAGGTTGCGAGTTCGTTTTACGGCGGCGCCGTTCAGTTCACAAGTGTAGTGTTATTTACGGAGATTCCTGTGGATCGTCGCCGAAGCTTCGGAGCTCGTGCTGTGCGCAACGCTCTCGGCAGGCAGCTAGCTATTCTGCGGAGAGAGGCTAGGCCAAATGGGATGAAACCCTGTGTAATGAAGTCGATCCTATCACCTATACCCTTACATTCCATATATAAAACACTGGCCACCGGTGATGACTGGCCAAGCGGCTAGAACCGTAGGCTCTCAAAGCGGAAGACCCGGAATAGATTCCTAACCTACATACTTCGTGTCAACAGAGCTAGCCAAGCGGCCCTAAATCTTCAGGCCCAAGAACTTTCCCTACCCACACCCCTTCCGCCTGCCCCCAATCCTTTGTTTTACATCACACTACAAAATAGTCAATACGGGCGTTCCGTTCCGCTGCTTTGCTTAAAAAAATCGTCACGTTTAAACACCTTACCCTAAGGAGATCTTTAGTTTATAATTGTGATCAGGTTATGTGCGCCATATAAAATGGTCTAACACTATACGCCCTCTAAGAGCCATGAAAAGGACTCTTGTAGTGCTAATGCGATCACAGGAGACAGACCGCAATATTGTCCCGACCGTCTACGAAGTCGTCTATCACTGAACCGATGGATGACTCGGTCGCCAATGATGAATACAGGCAGTAATATCAGTTTTATATCTCGAAAATAAATGAAACTAGAATATATGCAAATCAATGTAGCACTACATCTCAGAAGATCAGCCACAAGAGCAAGAGGACGGCCATGGAAATATTCGATCGACAACATTAAAGACACTCCACGACATGGCAATAGCTAGTGGCAGCTAGTGTCCACTGGATCGCAAATTAGTCCTCCCCACGGCTTTTAACGCCAGAATTGGTTTATGATGATGATGATGGTGAATGTGTCGGAGTGTGTACGTACTTAACATATGGATGGAGCCAATCCTGAAGTACGGATATAAAGAATGGACGATCAGCTGGTGTACAATAAATAATGTTAACGCTACTAAGATGTGTTTTTGCAAATGTATTAAGTGTTGATCTGACGAGTCTCAATGATAGCGGTACGACCGCTGTACAATCAGTATACTACTGCAGCAGTCAGGATCTACACCTTCAGACTTAAACAAATTTCTAAGGATGCGCCCGATATGCTATTATATGTATTAGTAAATCAGTGTCGGTGTTTGTGGCTTAGGCGT